TTCTCTCGATCTCGTTTGTGGTTTCGTGCAATATCAAATATCGATATCGTTTTGGCGCCGAAGCTTAGATTGCGGAGTGCGAAAGTAACGCGAACAGAATCTGCGGCCAAGGCCGTATATGGCCAATGAGATAATTTGTGGCATGTAGCAGGAATGGTCGATAACCATTCCCTGCCTGCATCCCTCCGGGCTGACGTTCTCTCGGCCGTAATCGAACACGTTCGCATTCAGTAATTAATACCGGATAATCGTTTAATATACTTTGAAGCTTATAATTCTACCTTTTGCGCTTTTCCATCTCGTCCCGACGAAGGCTTAGCGGCGGACGCAGTTTCGAAAGAACGGAAAATTGATAAAAAAAAATAAAATTTTCCTTGATAAATAATAAATTGTCGCTAGAAAGAGTCGCAGATTGTATTACAATATATCGCGCAAATTTATATTGTATCTGGAGCAAAATCTCTATCTTTAATTAAGAGAATGGGAATGGAAATAGCACACTAAGGGCGCAATGTACAGAGATGGATACGCATATGTAGGTGTACATGTACGTGCTTCCGCGAGAAGTAAGATAACTGTGAAGACACGTCTTGAACATCTTCGTCATGTCGCTTATCCTCCGCATGTTAATGACGTGTGCGAAGCTACCGCGTAGTGCCATCGTGCCAAATAGCATAATGCAATTCCGCTGGCGGCTATGTACATGTAATCTGCAAGCCGATACTTATGTGCAGCGTTTTGGAATTTGTGATAATAACGATTGTACCGCCTCGACGTTATGCTTTCGTGCGCACAACGTCGGTCTCTCGAAATGTGACCTCCGAGCGTCGATCTCGCGGTCATTCCAAGATCTCATTGTGGTTTCACGCGAGTGTCACGCGATACATACGCAAATCTACAATTACGATCGCGTATAATGAACTCTAACCTGTGCGGAATAAAGGGAGTGCGCGGCGTAGTAAAAATGTAGGGAAGGGCCGACCCTCGCCGCGCGCGTAAAAATCAACTGTAGCCGTCGCCCTTTGCGCGTCCCGTACGTGAAAAGCTGTAACGGTGTAAAACTGAAATTTACGGAGCTAATAATTTTCCGCGAGAGACTAAAGGGGCGCGACGCATTTGTAATCCGTTTATAGGAAACCGCCGACATTCGCAATTCGCGTTGTGTGCCGGCGCCCCCAATTCGCCGCAGAAACTAACGATTTCTCAAACGACGACAGAATCATTAAAAAGGCAGTTAAGAGTTGTCACGAACACACCGGTTTGCGATAGCTGGATTAACGTATATCCATTGCTCTTGTAATTGGATAAAGCCTTCTTAATAGAGTGACTTGGGAAACAAGAAAACTACCGAGAAACGCAATTATTGTTAATGTAATATCATAATGGCTTACCGAGCCATCGCTGATTGTTGATGCGGAAATTTTCTTATGTTTCATATAGAAACCTTTCGAGACATATTAAAGTGTTCACCAATCTCAGATTCAAAATACTTAAAGTGTACGAAAATCAAGTACATTGATCTCACTTTGGAGAGTCAGAATGTATGAATTAAATGGAAAATTATTATTGAAAGAAAAGAAAAAAAGAAGAGAAAAAAGTATCAGGGCGCGAGTGACTAAGCCGGGACGATTATTGTTGTATGTAATGAGAAATTAAATAGTTACGTCCCGCAAAAAATATCACTCATTGCATTCAATTCTTTTAATTCGATTCAATGTCAGAAGCTTCGTGTAATCATGGTTCTTTTAATTAAACGAGCTTAAGAGGGGAACAACGCTTGTCTGAAATGGAACAAATGTACAAAATGCAATTATTGTTATCATAAGAAATTAATCAGTTGTATCTTGTGAAAGATCACATATTATATCTCTAATTTTATTTTAATCTGTTTAATATTATATAAGAAGCTTTATATTATATAATAATTTGTTCCTCATCTCCAAAGGAAAATCACCAGGTCTATCTCACTACTCGACAACGCATTATCCGTGGCCATTCGAGAACCTCGTTCTTACACCGCTCCCGGATGATTCTTTCACGGGACGTCCCGGCAAATTGAATCGTCCGGTGATCGTACCTGGGTGCCATTGTCAGGAAGTAATTCGAGAAGGCGCTATCGATCGTACCAGGAACGGAAGCTACCGCGAACTACCGCTCGGTACTCGTCGACAATAGCTCGGAGAGAAACGCGAAGAGGGAGAGAGAGCGGAGAGAAAGGGGGAGAGAGAGAAAGAGAGAGAGGGGAGAAAAGAGAGAACCGCGACGGTTCCAGGAAAGTTTGGAATTTTTCACGAAATTTCGATCGTTCTTACGAATACCTACATGTATGCATAGTGTACAGCGACCGAGCTAGCCGAGTGAAACGAGTGGAAGTCGATTCGATCGGGCCGCAGCTCCCATGGGGGTCGCTCAGCTATTTTGCGACCATTAGCCGTCGCGTTGTTGCCGTATACGCCACGTCACCCCTTTGTTCGAGGACTGCTTCGTCGGTCTCGGCGAAAGCCACAGTTCCCGCGGAACCCACTTTATCCGCTTCTCCCAAAGGACCGCTGGCAGTCCTGGAAACCGCCGCGGATGCGTGCATCCTGCGAATCATGTATCATGCGGCACACACAGAAGACGTGCACGGAATGCTTTTTCGAATTCTATGACAAACTTGGAAGTAAATTCTAACGAAAAGTTTATCGAGCCAGATGCAGGAGAAGGCGACTGTTGTCTATTTTAGAGGCTGTTAATTTTCAACGTTAAGCATTCGCACAATCGAGCGTTAAATTTATTTTCTATCAAGATAATCGATGTTTCCGATCCTGGAGGAATGATGATACAAGGGAAAGGGCAGCTTGAAGGGCCCTCTTCGGGAGGATGGAAAAGTCGCGGCAAGAGTGGCATGAGAAGCGCGGGATGAATAAGAAAGACGCGAGAAGTGGATGAAAAGGTCCTTGATTTAAATCAACTAGTCGTTTCTGGATCGAACGCCATGGAGAAATAATTATGTGCGAAAACAACTTTACGTATAATTAAAATAATAACATAAAATAATGCAATATAAAAATATAATGTAAATAATACTGTCTACAAGTATAGCAAGTTAATTGAGTAAGGAGAGCTCCGTGCTAGTTTTGGCGTGCACAACTGGTGCACTGGTGCACTCCATCGCGTTACATCACAGCCGCAAACACACTTTTAGCCAAGGAAACATATACAATTCCCCGTTCCGCTGTGCCGCGTCTCGCTGAGGCACTTTACGCGAAGCAGATACTTGGTATGCCGTAAAGGTATATATATATATATACATATATATATATATCAGCATAACGCAATTTTGATGCATTAATCGACGTCATTGCATCCCGTTGCACGTCGACGATATTTTCGCCATCCAAACCGCACGAGACGTGCCTTGAACCATTTCGTCCCGACAAACTTTCAGTGATGTCATCATCACTTTTTACAGTTAGGAAAAATCAAGGCATTTATATAAATTTTTTTATGAAATAAATATTAAATGTAGCCTTTGCGCGTATGATTATAAAGTCTTTGAAATTTTCTTTCAATGTTCAAGAGTTCTCGTTTCTCCTCCGTTATTTCTTATGGCTTTAGGATGTTAAAAGGAGATTGAATTTTGAATCGGGAATTTCAAGACTACATAGGAAAGACCAGTAAATAGCGCAGATCGATAAAATCTGATTAGAAATGTGCAAAACGAAAATCCTCACAAAATATATTAACAGATATAACGTGTAAAAATATTACAATATATTAAGTTGCAATAAATTACACGATAAATGTGCATGTAGCATTTACGCCGACAAATTTACACGTGCGACACATTCACAAACTTTTGCATAATAATAATTTAGTTGCCAGTTGTATTAGCAGCGCGCATCAGCTTGTATCAAGTTGCATTCAATAGCGTATACACGTTTCGTGATTCATGGACGTGTGCACGCGACAGTATCCGCAGCTGCATTGTATAATTATACAAATTGACAACATTCAGGACGCGATTATTACAGTCCAGTCATCACGCTCGCAATAGTTGCCGCTCTTTCTGTCGAATGTATGCGATTATGAATGCCGAGATTGTCGGACTTTGCCAATATTGAATTAAGTTGGCGCTGATATGAATATATCGAGAGTATCGCGTTGCCTTATCGCGGTCGGAAACGGATCATCAACGGCCGAGTGAGGCGAAATCGAATCCCTGCCCATTCTGATCTCATTGCTTGGCGGTAACGTTCGTCGAGGCGAAGAGACAAATTGCCTACTTTTCGCAGGCTCCGCGAAACTCATGTCAGAAGACGGTCGCAGTGGCGGCAGTGGAACGCCGTAGCGCGAGTCAGGCATGCGCGTATGGCGCAGGGTGGCGCGCGGCAGTGAAAGAGCTCGGGGGCGAAACCCACGAGTTTCAGTCTGTCGCGTGTGTTGCTACGGCGCATATAGGATATATACCACTCGTTGTTGCTGCTGCTGCCGCTGTAGCTGCTGCAACTCTCCTGATGCTCTCGAATCGCGGTGGTGATAACGCGATGCCGTGACAGAAGCGGAACGTTCGCAAGAGTCACGTTATATATACGCGACCGAGAAAGAGAGAGAGAGAGAGAGAGAGAGAGAGAGAGAGAGAGAGAGAGAGAGAGAGAGAGACAGAGCAAGAGAGAGAGAGAAGGTGCGCAAATCCCACGCGGATCATCTCCACGTCAGGACGCAAGATGATGTCCCGACGGAGCATCGTGCGACATTGTCGTCGTCATTCGGAAATCACCGTTCCTCGCGCGTAAATCCCAGCTTCGTGGAAATTTCTGTTCGCGCGACATCGACGTCCGATCTCGTTTGATACTGAGAGCCGCCGGAAATTTACGGGAACGTTTCCGCGAAATGATACGCGAGGCATGGCAAACCTGACACGCGAGATAAAAATCGCAGTTTGTATGTAGCAGACGTGGAATTGATCCCGCGGGAGATCCGCGACTCGATGGGAAGACGAACGCCGATCCTCGTCGATCCAGTCCCGAGAGACTGAGATTGAAAAATCACGCCGAAAAGTCACCATTGATCTGATTTGTAACGAATTTCAACGCACAATTCTATTCGCGCCGACGTCCGATTAAAATAATGTCGCGTGAGTCTTTAAAAAGCACACGAGAGGAAAAGGTCGAGCACGTCGCTTCGGTGACTGCAGCACCGCTCCGGTGGTACCCGAGAGATGACTATACCATCAGGTCGCCGAGAGCGATAAGCCTATTATCAGGCAGCTTTAAGTGAAGCGAGATTGATCGCGTAAAAATAACCGACGCGCGGCACAAAAAAAAGAGAGAGAATCACGTGGCGGGAATGCGCGCGAAGTGCATCCTACGGCGGCGGCGACTGTATTGGTGCGCGTTACGCGATCGTCAACACCGTGCGCGTGCATGAGGGTGACTTCCGGTCACGGGCGGCAATTGTATCTTGCGTATCACCGCTGACAGGTGTGTATCCCGCATCTTGCAATTACGGAAATGTTGGCGGGATTCGTTACTCTGACGCCGGCGGATGACGATTGGCGCGCGTATTGTCCGTAACACACAAGATCCAGATGATGACGGATTCGCCGACACCATCGAGCAGTAGACATCACGACGATAAATGCGACAAGCACGAAAGATCCGACAAGTCAGTGTTACTGGTAAGCGTAATTTTAATCTTGATTCGTATTCAAATTCGCGACCGAGTTCGCGATAACGAAACTACCTCCCGTTTATCTAATTTTAATCTTTAGAAACCGTGTGAAACGCAAACTTTTTTAATTTTAAAGTCAGAATGTTTAATTTGCATCTGCGACGAATATAGAAATGTAAAGTTTTTATTTAGGCTATAAATGTACGCTCACTTTTCTTTTTTAAAATTGAGAAATTTTATTAATAATGAATGCTTTGCATGTAAATTTATTTTATAACCCTTGCTTTTGTGTAACATAAGAACATTTATAAATAATTTTTTACGTTTAAATTTAATGAAATGTGCTACACATATATATGTGTTAAATATACGTTAAAATAATATTTGTGGGAAAAAAACTGACATGAGACTAATCTAGAGTCGAAAAATCAGTTAATGAGTTTTCGCGACCAACTCACACTATTTTTCATGTTATCGCATCGTTAAAATCTTTAATCTGATATGCATATTTCTCCTTAATTCATTTCTTTCAAATTTCTCTCGCCGTTGTTATCTTTCCATTTCAATTTTTACACATGCATGAATGCAATTAATACTGGAGGTTTATTATTCGTGGTTAATAATTAACCGGTAGGAATAATACGTAATCAGATTTTGCATAAATTACAAGTGTAAGTGTGTACGTGTATGTGATTAACGTAATGTTATTTTTCAATTTTTGAGCCATGCTCCTCGTGGATCGTATACTGGACATTAATAATTATTCGTAACGCAATCGATTCATAAATTATCAGCAACACAGCCATTATCACTCTGTCACTCTCAATTATTTAATAATGTTCTTCGAATGTCGAATTATGTGGCGAGCTCAGCTCACCGCGCGCACAAACATATCATTGCTCGCAATGTTTAGACAAGCGTGAACGAGGAAAATTGCTCCACGGGAGAAATATAATAACAGCGAATATATATAAACGAGAGAACAATATATTCCACGTTGAAGCACATATCCGGCCGTTTCCGTTATTTCGCATCGAATAATCGATGGAGCCAATCGCGAGTTTCATTTTTCGTGCGTGCATTTTAGCAAATTCAGGACATAAACAGCCAAGTAGCGCAGTTTCGAGATCTGCTCATTAATATTGGACAACCGCGCGACTCTCCGGAGCTACGAGAGAAAATACGGAAGTTGCGTCGTAACTGCGTGGATGCTTGCAAGAACACATCTCAACTGGTACTGCCGCATGTGCAAAGGTGAGTGTTCAATGTACAATAAAAAAACAAATTTCATCTCAAACTTCCAAAATTTTTTCAAGCGTCTCAACTCAACTCGGTACATGAATCGAGATACGTAATTGTAATGCTGGCGCCAGACTATGCGCGCATTCGTAATTCGTGGTTCGTATGTAATTCGCGAATAGTGTGGAGAGAGAATTCGTAAAATTCACATTCGTGATTCGTCATTCGTGCTGATTCATCAGCAGCGGAGCGGTTTTTCCACGAAATCAAAGAGCGAGTCATAACGAATCAACCCATTCGTGTATAGCGCTACACTATGAGCGATAATTCGTAGTTATTCGTGCATCTTCGTGCTCACGTTCGAGGTTACTAGGTTAGGTACTTCGAAAGATGCGAGAAAGAGAATCAATACAATGACGAATCACGAATCACAAATGATTAATTACGAATCGCGAATAGTGTGGCGGATCCATACTATTGAACAAAGATTTTTCATAAATTGCTACGAATCGCGAATGACGAATCATAAATTACGAATACGCACAGTATGGCGCCGGCATAAGAATTAAAAGAATATTGTGTTATTCGAATTTTCCGAAAGAAAATGAAAGCGCATTTGGGCGTGTCTGTCTGAGTTTGTCTGACACGCAAATTGAGTTAAGGTGGATGTACACTAGGCGAACAAACATCGAACGAACAGTAAATACGAATGTTCGAATGTTCGTGTTTGTATTTGCTCGTTTCTTTAAACGTTTGCACTGATCAGTCGCATTCAGTTAGATTTGGTATATTCGTTCGTTTAGGCGGATATATACTAGGCGAACGAACAGCGAATATGTATGTTCGTTGATAAAGTTCGGAAGGTGTATACGTAGTAATGAATCTGAACAGAACGTTCAGATGCGTATTTATTGCGCAAACGAACAACGAACGTATGCGAATGTTTATTTTTTAAATCGTAAGATGTATACATCGTAACGAATGCGAAACGTTCAATGAATTGTCTGCGATGTACCGTCTTGTAAGCGAATCGAACATTTTGTTCGCATTTGTTATGACATATACATTTTCCGACTTTAACAACAAGTATTTGCATTCTTTATTCATTTATTGTTTGTTCGCACAGTACATATGCATCTCAATATTCAGATTCGTTACATTAGGGTGAAACAAAGAAAAATTTCGAGATATCGTTTTTGCAACTTGGCGAAAAGCTACTTCTCATATGCAATAAACTACGTGTAAATTTGAACAAAATCGGAATCATCTCTCCTCTCAAAATGATCAGTTTTATATCCTTTATATACATATATATACTTTTAATGTCGATTGCGTGGAATGATTAGTTTTCCAATGACGGATGACACAGTAAAGACCTGCAAAATTGATTAATAGAAAGTCCAGTTTCCTGAGTTGAACGGAGTGAATTAATTGCTCAATGGAATAAAAAGCGCGTGAAAGCTCAAATTCTCGCCTTCAAAATGCCCTATAGCAGACCTTGATATGATAATTTCTCGCTGAGTTATGTCAATCTAAAGAAATATGGATTTTAATAATGATAAATTGTGATTTAAAATGTTGTCGTTATTAATTCAAACCATTGCAATTCTGTCCAAGATATATCGCGCGCGCGCGCGTGTGTGTGTGTGTGTGCGTGTGTTACAGCAGAGATGAGAGAGGACCCCACGATTCGTCACTCCCGCAGTATTTTATGATTCCAAATTTTCTCTGCTGTGTGTTTGTGTGTTTAGTAATGAGTGTGACTTCCACGGACCCGGATTATCTCTTCCATACGACGAGACATACTTGTAATCAGTGCTTTTATTTCCACTTGATCTCATTCCACGCTCTTTCAAGAACTCCTCTAAGTTTTCGCAGTGTTTGTGGAGTTGGTGATTCCGTACTTTCCTACCAAAATTGTCCCACAGGTTTTCAATCGGGTTCGACATAGGGTCGAGCATTGTCTTGCATAAACAAGAAATTTTCCCCGATGAAGTGGGCATAAGGTGCAACATGCGGTATCAGTACACCTTCCACATGTACATCTGCATTCATGGTACGTTCAAAGAAATGAAGGTCTGTGTGAGCATTTGCAGAAATCCCTGCCCAAACCATGACAGATCCTCCGTTGTAGCTGTATCTTTCACTCACAGTACAGTCTGCAAAACGCGTCGGTAAATACGTTCTCGTCCATCGGCAAAACAAAGACAAAAACGAGATTTATCACTAAAAAGAACGCGACTCCAGCCTGCGCAAGTCCAATTACTATTGCACAGTTGCAAAATTAAGTCGAGCTACGCGATAGTGATGTGTGGCGAAGTACCGCACGCTTGTTGCTAAAGATGCGAAAGATAAGAGAGAGATAGTAGACTACGTGATTACGGGAACGGCGGAATTGTACATACATTTTGTCAAGCTCTGCTCTATCTGAATACACACATACACGTATGGAACTGTGTGAAGCATCTGAGTGGATGCGTGTATGCTAGCAAATTTGATTGTTTCTATATATAACATTGTTGTAATTGGACTTACGCAGATTGGAGTCGCGTTCTTTTTAACGATAAAGTGACTAATCACTAAAACTCACTTCTCATCTTTGCTGTGACACACATACACACACACACACAAGAGGTGTAAATCTGAAAGTCAACTTTGTTTTTTTAAATGGAATGCTATGTTTTTTTACTCATCTTCTAACAGAGCTATACAGATAGCGATTACAAGAGCGATATGTCAACAACCAAAGAAAATACGAAAGTGTTCGATTGGTTCCTTCAAGTAAATTATTCATCATCACAGTTGACCTTTAACGACCTTGAATGACCTTTATAGGTCATTATATGCGTCTTAAAATGCTCTTAGAAAGTAAGTAAAAAACATCACTCCATTTAAAAAAACGAAGTTGACTTTTGCATCGCCTCTGCACCTCCGCCTACAAGAAAATTATTGACATCAGATTATGTCCCTCTTGAAACCAAGCAAGATTGGTCTGATGCATTTTTTTTATCGCCAAAAGCAGACGAGTTATTCAGGTGGCCTATTTTAGAGATGCTTCACTCTGTATAATATAAACTTTGACTGTTTTGGAGCGAGAGAAGATGTTGTTCTAATTTTGCACATAGTTGCCTCTCATATGCAATAAATTACATGCAAAATTTGAGCAAAATCGAACAACATCTTCTCTTGTCCCTAAAACGATCAAAGTTTTATATTATATACAGTGTGGATCACTAAAGGTGTTATAGGTTAATATTTCTGAAACTGAATGAGGTATGAAATTCTTATTTTCCAGTGACTGTTTGGTATTGAAGCGGGCATTGCGTGATGAAGTTAATTTTTACGTATGTTTATTTGCGAATGACAGTGATGTCGAGCATTTGTTTGGAAAACTGTTCACAAAAACTGAACACTTTCACTCCTTTTTACAATGTTTTTTCATTGTAACCTTAGTATGACCTTGATATGACTATGTATGGTCATTTTATTCGTCAAGGGATAGGCTACAATTGTACACAATAAAAAGTATATGTTTTTAGTTAAATTATAAAAGTTAAGTTATAAAAAAATCAAGGTGTCTTTGAAACGATCTTAACGACTTCGTTTAAAAAAGATTAACTTTATCACACAATGTTTCGATTCTAAACAGTTGGAAAATAAGAATTTCATATCTCGTTCAGTTTCTGAAATATTAGCCTGTAATACCTTTAGTGATTTACCCTTATATAGGGCGTGCCATTTTATTTTAAACAGTCAAATATCTGGAAATCACGGGATTTTAGAAGAAAATGTTTCGTACAAAAGTTTTATGACTTCGAGGGAGACATATATATAATATAAAACTTTTACCGTTTTAAAGGCGAGAGAAAATGTTGTTCGATTTCGTTCAAATTTTGCACGTAGTTTACTGTATACAAGAGGCAACTTTTCCTTAACATAAGTTGTAAAACGATATCTCAAACTTCACTTTTTCGTTCCACTCTACATCTTTCGAACTTTGACAACGAACATACACATGCGCTATTCGTTCGGTGTTCGTTCGTGTATATCCGCTTTTATTCTACTCTGATTTCACTCCAACTATAATTCATCTGATGTGACCGATCCACTCATCTATCATGCATTTAACGTGTATCGCAAAGAGCTAATGTAAGAATTAAAAATATTAATTTTATATTACTTGAATTTTCGTTCAACAAAATTGAAACTTACATTTAAACACAGTTTGAGCATTACTTTGTCATCATCGACCGAATTAATCCACTGATTCGATCCACTGATTCTTAAAATTTGTGCGTTCGATCAATGTGTTAATTCGGTAAACCAATTACTCGCCTATTGCGCATAATAAAAAAATTAATGCAGTCAAGATGGTACACTCTTTTTTCAGACGTTCTACGTACTTTCGAGATTACTCCGGTAATTTTCCGATAACGATAACAAGGACGGTTTTTTGACCTATGCGCAATGGTCGCACGAGTGATGTTTCTTTGCGTGATGATGACGGAAAGATGTGCGAATGTAAACCGCGAAATTAACGAGGAGCGTTGTGCATATAGAACAAGGTTTCATCATCCTAAACTCCAGATTCAAGTTAGTTTGTTAGCTTAATAACGATAAAGAGGGAGGGAGTGAAGAAAGAGAGGGAGAGAGAGGGAGGGATGAAAATGAGCGGAAAGAAAAAACTTTTTCCTTGACTTCTTACTACATCGTTTCCATCATTCCCCTCGCGCGTTTCGCACAATGCAGGTCGCGGAGAGACGACAAATACGACGACTCCGCCGTCTGAAGAATCATGATCGTGAGAAAAGCGTCACGTGCCGTCGCCAAGCACTTGCAATAACTTTCATTCCGTAAGTTTGCTGGGCGCGCGTTCCACCGTGCCCTTTATCACCCGGTTTAGGCGGGATTTCCGCCGTCCGGGAGACTTTCGATTGACTTTACAATCACCTCTCGACAGCCCTCATCTAACCGACAAGAATTTAATAAAATGCACTTCCATGACGTAACTTCAATCAACGGATTTAATCATCTTATTTATCTCCAATACAATCTAATTTACGCGTCAATTATTATTAATATATTGTTATTATTAATATAATTAATATAACATATTATTAATATAATAATGAGTTAGTGCTGGTAACATATTTTTTAAATATTTGAGAATGAGTCAAAATGTGTTTTCAGAAAATAGCTATTAATAAATATAAATATAGATTTATTATAAAAATTTCTTTCCCTACGTAATGATCGTATTTTTTAACGAATTTCTTTTGGCAGAAAAACAGCTTTTTATCCCAAAAAAGCTTCCGATTGTTTGCAACATAAAGATCTTTTAGAATAATTTACCCTTATAGTTATTCAAACTCGCAGGAAAATTTCAGCACGTCGTCCATTTTGGACACATTGTAACGGTGACACAGCCGCGAGAAAAAACCTGACATGAAAATATCATCGTAGTGTCAGCATAATGCGAGGATTTACATGAAGTCAAATATATATACGTGCTGTTGTATCGCGTATATACATACATGCGCGGCTGGTGTTTCGTCGATCTCGTTTAATCCGGATCGCGGTAACACTCGCTCACGGAAAGTTCCGCACTCGCAAAGCTGCGAGCTTACTTGAGCGTCGATCAAGTATTAATGACGGCGGATTGTGTTTTTCTTTGTTTGCTTTTACGTCGTTTGTGCATAGCGTGACTTTGTCGCAAGAATGCAAATTTCCTGTGCAAAAGTTTGCGACGCTTGCGACATCGTGTAAAGTATCGCTCCGTGAGTGAAAATTGAATGATTTGTTCGCGATTCGAGACTCTAAACTTGGTGAACAGCTTACTTGATACGCTCTCGACTACGAGATTCTAGACTAGATAGACGCGGCTCTTGGCAAGATATCGAACAACATTGAACAGAAATAGTCAATAAAGTGAAAACGATGCTTTAAAGTACAACAATTTTAGAATAATTTTTAGAGATAAAATAAAATAATAAAAATTGCACAATAAACAAGTAATATAAATTTGGAATAAATAGAAAAAGCACTCGAGACGACATATTTGAATGCCGGCGCGCGCGCGCGCGCGTGTGTGTGTGTGTGTTTGCGGAATAATCTTGTATCAATAATTTAATCGTCACGAAAAGATTTTCGAGATATACTCTGTACAATATGAAATTTGAAATTTGTTTTAACATGTAAAAGTCGCGAGTTCGAACCCGGTAGTTCGTTGAACTCGAAAAACTACCGGAGTTTCTCGTAATCACAGATTAACGTAGATGAGCGAATGGCGGCGGGCGGCCATTGTTGATCTCTAAAAAAAGCTGTTCGAATAAAGCACCGGTGTGTATTTTGCATAATCGATGCAGCGGTTTGCGTGTTTCGCGGCGATACGGCGCACAAAGTGCTCGGCGACGTCTACGCGAGAACATGAATCGAGCAATGCTATACGTGTAATCGAACGTACATATGAAAATGATCGATTGATTGTAGATTGCGTCCCGAGAATACTGTGCATAATTATATACAAGAGAAATAAAAAACTTTACATTATAGAAATAATACAGATCAAAATAAAGGGAACAATTAAAGAATAACGGTGCATGCAAACGAGTGATAACAGTCGATAACGGAGAGAGACAGGCTCAGAAATAATGTAATTGTAATCAATTTATTACAATAATGTCTCGAATAATTGAACTGTTGCATCACATCGCCGCAGTACGTGCTATTAATGTAATGAAACGGAGGAAACGCATACACTGGTCACGTGGCAATATTATTGCGGACAAGAGAGAAACAATACTGTACAACGGGGCAATGCAATAATGATCGTCTCGTGACGGCCGACGGTGATCCAGCTTAAGCGAAGTAGATAAAATGAGGTGCGTGTGCGTCGGGCATTTGCGGTGCGATATGCTATTCGAAGCAGTATCTAATTAAACGCCGCTCATTGAAAATCCCGTCATGGTTACATATTTCAGTGATGCTAAACTAATTTCCTCGTTCAACGCAAATAATTATTTTTAACTTGGGAAACATATTTTGGATACTTAGCGTAATTATTTGCCTTAAATTTCGACTTGAATTTTTCGGATACCGGATGTTGTTGCACGTATATACACAAGCACGACATAATGCTAACGTAGTTGGTCAACTTTCAGTTGAGGAGAAGTTTGCTGTAGATTAATGAGAGAAAATGAAATTCCGTTGTCTATCCACATCGCCCAGCCCTCAACTCGTCTAAAGCAAGTTTATTTTTGCCGCATTAAATAGTTCGATAAGACTAAACTTGGAATTCATTGTTCGGCGGAGCAAGTCCAAAAATTTGGAATAATGCCTCGTGCCAGCGACCGTACTTAAGCTGCGATACGATATCCGCGAGTGTATTGTACGCTCTTGTCTCTTCGCTCCAACGTGAGAGTGTATGAAAGAAATTTCGAAAGAAACGAAGTCGTGAAACATTTATATTTTCATCAAGATGTGCAAAGCCCCGGAAAGAATTATTCAAAGGCGACTGAGTGAGATGAGGGGGAGAGGGGGAAGTGGAAGAAACGGGAGGGAAAAACAGGGCGGAAAAGGGGGGAAAGAAAGAGGGGAGGAGAGAAGAAGGAAAGAAAGGAGAGGGGGAGGGGGAGGAAGAGATGCGAAAGAAAAGGGGAAAAAGAAGAGAGAGAGAAAATCAGTAATTGCGAGTAGCAGTCTAATCTTTTTTGCGAAACCCACTTCTGCCTTTGGCTCACTTCGCTTAACTTTTTGTGAGGAACCAATCTGTGAAATCAATAGCTTTCTTTTTCCCCCTGTGCAAATGCTATGCAGCATAGCGGGCGGGTTTGCGCACAAAAGAATTTAAAAATCTCGACGTGTCGAAACGTCCGAATCGTCCGTAGTCGCTACGAATTACGGAAGCCGAAAGTAAACTCATTTCCAAATCACTCATTTGCATTTTTCACTATAATACAACTCGAATGTTTCATTGGAGAGCACGGCTATTGATCATATGATAATAGATGGATGATAAAGGACTATAGCTAATGTAAAAGAAAGAGGAAAAAATTTCGCGGAGAACCTCGATAAATAGCCATCTTAGCAGCGGCCAGAAGCAGTCACGGGTGAAATATTCGCAGATTGAGGTCGGTCGCCCTCGGCCGTGCCAATCTATTTCGCACGTTAATCGGAATCTCATTAACCGAAAGCCAACCGAAATGCTTCCCGCGCAAGGACTTGGTTCATCGCTCGACCGATGAGGTAATTGACGTAAAACAGGTTAATCGGAGTACTCGGGCTCTTCCTTCACGGCTTTTTTTACTAGCTGTCCCGTCGCTAGTTTTCCCTTATCAGATTATGGTTTCGCGGCAAGATATCCTCGGTTACTGTAGAAATTTACAGATGATAATTTTTACACGAGATCCGCTGCACGTTTTTCGCCCCCTTTTATTCTTCATTCGAGATAATACGTCATCTAGGACTAGAAGACGTGCCATGAGATCATCCCAAAAGTCTCCCTTCGTTTTTGAAAACTCTACATAATCTACATGACATTTTTACTCACGAATACCGCTGAAGGAACAGGATTGTGCCAACAACAGTAGCGAAATGTCCGTGGAACGCGAGCAGCGCGTCAACACTTGAACACGTTTGCGAAAGGCGCGCGCGTGTTAATGAGGTCAGTACTAGTGCCGCGCGGTATAGGCTCCTTCGCGTAAGCAACGGTAATTATGTTTTTAATGTAATTAACTCGGGGTACTGCGGCCAGAGACGGAGCGAAGGAAATCGGATTTATGGACTTTCAAGTAAAATCAGTCTCTCCGACCCAAGAAAGTCGTTAAAGCGATTCGTATCCCCTTGCGCGATAACGCAAGCTTTATCGCGCTGGCGATTCGGTAACGATAACAAGAGTTTTACATCATGGCTTCTCATTATCAGCATTACATCCTATATTCTCATGCCCTTTTTCTGTATTATTTTCTATTGTTTTAATTAATGAAAAATGGAAATAAAATATTCAACGTTAATCTCACGATTTGAACGATCTACGTTATCTATGTACAATTTTGTACTCTGTAATATAGAAAGTATTTAAGAACACATTTAAAATACACATTTAGAAAATATATATCAGTAATTTGTGTTTGGTACGTGTACAATGCAATTTTCCAAATATTTCTTCTTATATAACATTGTAGATAAAAATAATTGTAAATAAAATTGAAAATATATAAATAAATAAAAGTGTAGAATCGTAGATTTTCTTCAAATTCTGAAACGAATTGTAGATCGTCCAAAGTGGGCTTTGCTGTACGTATATATTACTATAATCTTATTGGATTAATTTCTTAGATGACTGTAAATCTTTTGGAAATGCATTTCGTTACAGCGCCATGGATGTCGGAATACCGGTGGACAGTCCGAATCTGGTCTTGTTATTCTACGTGGTGCAACTCTTCCTACGCGAACTGCACAAAAGCAAAAACCTTATACAAATCGTACCCATGGACATGTCCGGATATTACGGTAAGTCGCGCACGTTCGCGGCGGAGTTTTAATCGGTAGTGTTACAATAATAGTTTCTAAATTGCACGAACAGTCTGTGTGTGTAAACGTGGGGAAGTGCCGAGAAATCTGGGGCACACCACCGAGTATAACTTTTTTTATGAACTATTACAACACGATCGCGGACGATTTTAATCTCGAGAGACGAAGGAATATTCGTCGATCGAAACAGAATTTAATTTACATTGCTTACACTCGGTTTTTCTTTTCTTTTCTTCTTCTTCTTTTTTTTTGAATAATATTTTCAATTGATTTTAATTTCACATTTTGTACGTGAAAAAATAGTAAGCAAACGAGTAAGTGTAAAGGCGTCCTCATCGGGATCGAGTCGGCACGTTATCGGCTCGCATCGAAGCGCAACGTTAAATCAGTTTCTGCGGTCGCTTTGAGAGCCCAGCAGGATAGACTGATTTACGGCGGTGCATCCCAACGGACCATAACTCGCAAAACTATCGTGTACACGGTTGTAGGCTGGCTATGTATTCAACAGATCGCAATTTTCAACTAGATATCACTTCCGTCAATCGAGTCGAATTCTCTACGAATTGTGCACGACGTACGTGCGTGGAGGAAAAATCTGTCACGTTAATACGTGTTTTTGTAACTTTTAACAGTATTTGCTACGAGTAAACTGCGATATTGAGCGCACCTCTTACAAGTAAAACTTATGCCCCGAATAATTTATAACTATTTGATCCTTGACATTTCCTCGTCTACTTCTTTCTTGGCTGCACGTTTATAAAAGCTTTTTTTCTCAAATCTTGTGGTGAAAAAAAAAGAGTATAAAATACCCTATGCACTTTTACCTTAAAGCCTAGCTAAACAGAGCGTTATATATTATGATAATAAAACCTGCAATTATTATCCACCTCTCCTGTTTCGTTTAAAATATTCGCGAATTCGAAAACAAGAAAGAGGTCAGCATAATACTTTCTGACAATGTCGACATTGAATGGAAATCTAAAAAAATCTAAAAACACGATGTTTGCATTGTTGCGTTACAGAAAGCCGCGCCGGGCCTTCGTATATCGGCAACGTGGTCTCGCAGATCCTTCTGTGCAAACAGATTAGGCCGGACTTTAACGAGGAGGAGCTGTGCAGCATCCGTAAGGACTCGGAGGAGATCGGCCGGCTGATAGCAGAGTTACAAGAATTCATGCCCCAATCCGAAGCTGACACGGGTACAATTATGTCAATATCTTCATTTACGTTGCGCTTAAGAGGATCCCGGAGTCGTTTGTTTTACCGATTTCTTTTAAATAGACTTTACTTTTTTCTGGCTGTGTAGAATGAAAAATTCTTTTCTGTAATTAAAGTACATATGCTAATACAGGGTGGAACAGATCGTACTTGTTTTACCTTCTATTTTTCGTAAAATTCTTTTTTTTTGGCTGCATGGAATGAAAAATTCTTTAAAATTGACCGTCCACCCTGTATTAGCATATGTACTTTAATTACAAAAAAGGATTTTTCATTCTACACAGCCAAAAAAAAGTAGTCTATTTAAAAGAAATCGGTCAAACAGACGACTCCGGAATCACTTTAAGATATTTGCGTAATCGAACGATTCTCCCGCAAATGTATCAATTATGGTTTCTAACTCTTTTGCTGTTAACCCGTATACGTATACGGGATCGATAAAGATCAGTATTGTGCTTGCCCGTATATGTATACGGGCCACGTGACATGGAGCGACATATTAAACAAAATAGGAAATATTTTAATAAATGACAATTTACTAAGCATAGTTTTTTTCTATAGATAAATCAGTACAACTATATATATATATGTATGTTTTTCTTGTTTTATAGCACAAAAGGTCTTCCAAATACTGTGAAATAACAGCGAAAGAGTCAAATTTATCATCGTTTAAATTTATCCGGTAACTTATAGCGAGAGGAAAAGTCTGTATTCCCCAAAATAATTTTTTAATTTTATTTCAGTATATTTTTGTCGGATGACTAATAAAAGTTAAAATTTTGCGACTTGTTTCGGGTGGGACGAGATTAAAGAAGTCGAGGGATGAAATAAATAGATCGGAAAAGATCTGTAAGACTTGATTTTTTTAAACGAGAAAACGAGATATGAAATAAGCTTGGTCAATATAATGTATAGAATAGCAAAGCAAATTTGTGTGGGCTAGCTCTGAGCACCGTATCGTTAGTGCGTACACTGCAAACACGTCGCGCGAATGGTGGACTAAGTGCGCGCGAGAGAACGCCGTTCGCGCGACCTTAGACCCTGATAATACATTGGGTCAAGGACAATTTGTTCCGTAAAATCCGTTTGCCCGACCTGCATTCCTCCGGTCCGTGAAAGAAAGCATGACGAGCGAAAGTGGTAAATGCCAAAGGGCAAAAAAATGAGCAGAAAACGAGAAAAGAAGAAAAAGAGGAAAAAGAGGACGCTGTTAAAAAACTGTTCGTCGGTCAACAAATCTACGCTCTTGCCGTTTGTAAAACAATCTCGCCCCGGCTGTTCGATAAATATTACTTTCTATTGTGCTGTCAGGAGTTGACTTAAGCGCAGAACCGGGGAGGCGAGCGAGGAAGCGGGAGACGATGGAAACGAAAGGGTGGTTTAAGCTCGAATTAGATTGTGTTTCTCTTTCATAAATCAATGTGGCGAGAAACAATGACAAAATTATACTTGAGAGATGACCGTATTATTAATACATTTGGCAGATCCGGAATATTCTGTAAACGTTTTCAAGTCTGAATGTCAAGTTATATATAAATAATAAATATTAGAAATATTAAAGAATAATCACGTGATCAGAAAAGATACAAATAGTCGACATAAAATTTATTATTTAATCGAAAATAATTTCCATTTTTTGTTATGACTTTTTGTTCATGTGTGTATTAATTTATCCAAGTATTATCTTGAAAAAACTTCAACCGCCTATTTGTATTTTCTCTTCGTACGTTTATAATAAACGACATTACTTTTATTTATTCCCGAGTGTTATATATTATATATATGTTATTTAAAGAAGCGCGTTGCCTCATTCTCTTTCTCACTCTACCGTAACTTTCAAGCCTCATAACTCGAAAAGTACTTAATGAAAAAATATTTTATTATAGTGTTTTGAAAAGCTTTTGAGATAAGCTACAAAAATATGCAATAAAAAATGGGAGTTTTCATTTAAGAAATTGAAGGTGACCTTCATGTGATCTTCAAACGACTATCCAAGGTCAAACCAATGACACCATCTTATGTCCCCCTCGAAGTCACAAAACTTTTATATGAAACATTTTTCTCTAAAATGCTTTGTTTCCGAGATATAAATTTGTAACACTTTAACTGACTTACCCTGTATATCGAATTATTATGATACTTAAGCATCAGCGGAATGTGTTTGCTAGGCTATAATTGTCATATCCTGAACAAGGATCAGTTTTTATTTTGACGTCTTCATAACCATCGCGATCTTGCCTTCATTGCTGGATCATCCTTCGATCTTGTCTTCGTTGGCTGGACATCTTACCATCTAGATATCAAAACCTCGATAACTTTGAAACGACTGACCCAAAGTGGATAAAATTAGTGTTTTGGAAAGGTTCCAAGAAGGGCTATAAGAATATGCAATAAAAAATAGAGGATTCCATATTAAAAATTCAAAGTGACTTTGCTCTAACCTTGATGACGCCACCCAAAATCAAATTGATAAAGTCAGCAAACAGATCTTTTTAAGCCCTACAACTTTTATCTGAAACATTTTTTATGAAACTTATATTTTTCGAGATATTCTGGGGTCCCGATCTTTTTTATACACCTGCACACATACACACACGAGCGCGCAAGCATGCTTAATAAAACAATTATCATACAAGAATAATTCATACCTCCGATAGGTGTGATATTTTCATCATAAGATTACAAACTACAATCGCATAAATCTTATTTTGGCGCCAACATGGCAATCAGCGCAATGCGTTATGATATTGCGGACGTAAATACGAAAATTTTTGGCAAATTGGGGAAAAAAGAACAATGACAAAAACCAGACTAACGAATGCGAGAGGAGAAAACTGCACATGCGACGCAATCCAGAATTTATGGAAACAATATCGAAGAGTTTTCATATATCGCGATTATCTGCATTCCAGTTGTGAATTTGTCAGTGGCCGAGAAACGACAATCGTTATATTTTTTCATGGTTAAAAGGAGCGTGGCTTTTGGCACAAAAAATTTTAATCATTTCACAGGTTTGCTAAATGTCACAATTAAATACGCAAACGAGCTCGTTTCACCTGATTCCGGCCGTGTAATGGTTTTCACTCGACGGCTGAATTTTAATCGATTTTAATGCGCACCGCAGCGCGGGGAGAGAGCTTATTTTGCAAACGTATTCGCGGTTAAATTAGTAATTAACGGTCAGTGAGGGTTGAAACCGTGCGCGCCGTAATTCCGCAGCAAGGTCGCAGCCGATGGATTCGGCTTTCGATGCGCGTCAAATGGCGCAACGAGTCCGCGCGGACATGGCTCGGTTATCAAGAGAGGAACAACGTTTGTGACACAAAATACAGGATACGGGTCAAGGTAACAAGTCGCGAAATCGAGTTTTTGCTCGCGAGAAACGCGAAAATTCCGGAAAATACTGGAAAAGCACAAAACACAGCGGCCGACAAAGTGCGGCGAAAAACATCAAGATATAAAAGCACACTGTATTACGCATACAAATTTTCTTTAAAAAGGACTACAACTTAGCGAGCAATATACAATACTTTGCGAGATCAATTGG